TAAGGTCATGGTGAGGCCAGCTCTGTAAGCAGGCCCCTGTTCTCAGGGACAGGAAGGTGGGTGGAACCGGAGCAGGAGAAAGTGTGTGGTCATCCATACAGTGCCGACGGCCCCGGGGACTGGTGCATGGAAATCGGGTCATTGCTGTTGAAGGGGAGCCGTTTGGTTATTTTCTCGGTCACTGCTGTTGCTGACTAAACAGCCAGGCATGGTTCAGACTCCATGTGCAAAGGCACGTTGCAGGGCAGGTTTGATTCACAAAGCTAGGCCAGGAGGTGGGAAGATCAATCCAAGAAATCAACAAGATGGCCAAAAAAAAAAGTTTGCTGAAAGTCAAGAGAATAGGAACAGGTTAGGGAAATCTATACCACAGAGTGGGACTGGCAACTGGATACTAAGCAGAGGCAACAGTAACATAGCAGTGTTTGAAAAGATGCAGCCGCCAAGGCTATAATTTGTCAAGCTGAAAATATGGGACAGTCTAAATCCGCAGGGATGCAGTAGGGCCGTTGGCGATCCTGGAAGTGGGAAGTGATTTTTGTCCGTTTGAAAGGGCGCCTGGAAATATCCTTTAGAACAAAGGAGAAGGGCTTCACAGAACAACAGCAAGAGAGCAAGTATTTTTATGCAAACAATACACTTACACACACACACACACACACACACACACACACACACACACACACACGAAGAGTATGTGCTTGTATGTGGGCGAGTGTTTGAAAGGAAATATGCCCCGTGGTTGCCGTGTGAGCCTGTGAGCAGCCATGGGAAAATGGCAGGGCACGCGGGTTTTGGAAGCGAGTTTAGAGTCGGGTCCCAGGGACCAAGATCACTAAGCCAAGCTCCAAGACTGCATGTGGCCTGGGGTTCCCAGCCGGGAGGCTCAGAAGTGGGCCCACCACAAACAGGAGGTGACCTGAACAGCCCCAGAACTCGGGCCCCCTTTCCTCGGGTGTCAGCCGTATGAGGAGGGCCCCTGAGACAAGGCACCCAGTGAAGGTGGCGTGGAAAATTGACCATATACGTACATTCCTGGTAAGAGCCCCGGAAGGCGTAATGGGTTATGCGTTTGGTTGCACAAGGTCAGCAGTTCAAAACCACCAGCTGTTCCACAGGAGAAAGACGAGGCTTTCTACACCCATCAAGGTGTTCGGTCTCGGAAAACCACAGGGTCTGTTCTCTGTCCCAGAGGAATGCCGTGAGTCGTAATCGGTTCGGTCACGTGAGTCCGAGGAAGACATGCACACAGATGTGTCTACATGTGTGCATTTATATCGTCAGTACTTGACTTGAGTTCATGCCTAATAATTCCCTTTTCCCAGGAAGCACATCGGCATTGGTTTTTGTTTTGTTTTGTTCCGAAAACTTTGGGCAGTTTCATATTCTTTTCTGAACAGAATGATAAATGTAATTTTTCAAAGTCCAGAAAATTACTGGACAATAGTTTAGTAACGGTGGTGTAGGGTGTAGTAGGAATATCCTGGGTGTGGCTCTTTGAATGAATGGTTTCCTCCCTCACTCTGGAAATTGCATTTAAGCTTCTTCATTTTTGTCCTGAAACTTGATGTACTAACAATTAAAACTAGGCAATAGTAAGAAAGTTGGTCATTCTTTTTTTTCTCTTGAAGTTCAGTGGCTGCCACAATGAGCTTAAAACACCACAATTTGAGGAGGGTGGAGGACCGTGTGGTGCTTTGTTCTGTTGTTCTGAACAGAGCGGTCACTAGGAGCCAGAACCAGAAACCATGCATCCATTTCTCCCACGTCCCTGTCCAGCTGAGAACGTGTGCACGAGCCGCTAACCCGGCTTTCCGCACGCGCTTCTACCCGTTCAGTCCCTACATCTACTAGCACAGACTCTTGACACGCAGCCTCTTTCTGTACCTTGTTCTAGCGTTGCTGTAATAAATAAGCAAGTTGGGTGTTTTTAAGAATTAATCCTTTGCCCTCAGCTAAGGATAGAATGCTCTAGAAACCACTTATAATCCGCCTTTCCCCATTGAGAATAATTCCAGTTTTTAGGACAATCCGAATTCTGATTTTGAAACCGTGAATGGGGACACGTCGTCTCAGGTTCTGGTGGACGGGGCTGGTGGGTGCTCTGAGGTACTGCATACCCTGTCCTGTCGGTCCCCCAGAGGCGTGTGTGGTTCCACCCCGATCGCCCCCTGCACCTCAGCGTTGAGAGCCAGAGCCCCTGCAGTCCCGAAGGCCAAGCCCCTCGTTTTCCAGCTGATAAAGCTCTGGAGAGTCAAGTGGCTGGTCAGAGCTGCTCCGGGGTGGTTTAGTGTTTCCACTTACTGTGCTGCTCCGACTGTGGGAGGGTGTTATCTCTGGAGCTCATCCGAGAGAATATTAACATCACTGCCGGTCAGCGTGCAGGCAAAGAGCTGTTTAATTTTGACGGAGCCCGGGTGGTGTAGTGGTTGCACGTTGGGCTGCTACCTGCAAGTTCAACAGATCGAAACCTCCAGCTGTTCCATGGGATGACTAGCTTGGGGCACAGTCTTGGAAACTCGCTGGGACAGTTCTACTCTCTTGATGACCGTGAGTCTTTTGTTTGTTTAGCCATTGGTTTGGCTCTGGCCACAGTCATCCCCGGGGCAAAGTCCAGCAGCCTCCTGGGGCTTTAGAGGAGCAGACGGGCCTTGCCTTTCGCATTCTGGAGCTTAGTCACTCTGTGGGTGTTTAAATGCAAACTGTACTGGTCTCCTGTCCCCGTGAACGCCCAGTCCCCCAGCTCGAAGCTGCCTCAGGCAAATGACGATGTGGGGACTTTCTGAGCTGAACCCCCCCGCCCTCCCAGGAAAAGAAGAACATGGCTGAAGTGCTTGTTTCAGGGATAAAATATGCTGGGGACACAGGCAGGATTAAAACATTAGGCAGCCTCAGATAAGTGAATAATCAATATTATCTAAACAGGTAAATCCCAACTATTCTTTCATTTGGGATTTTTCAAGAAAATTTTCGGGTAAACTTCATTCACAAACCCTCTCATCACTTACCAATATGATTAGGTTCCAAAGACTGGGTTGTTAGGCAAAATCAGTGCCTGGTGACACTGGAGGCTGATTACATCAGATCAGAACCTGGAGGATGAGTGAGTACATCGCTACATAGCTGGGCTACCAAACCACCGAGAGTCTGACCTGACCGATGGCCACAGAACCCCACCACAGCAGCTTCCCTCTTGCCTCTTCCTGGCTCGGTGTCATCGCTGCCAGATGTTGGTTGTCCAGTCCCCAAACGGTCAGATAGTGGATCTTCCGCCCTTGCCGGGGGTGTTGGCTGTGTGGGACTTGGACGCCGTCCTTGTGGAGGAGAGGTGCAGCCTAGTAGCAGTGGCTGGTCCATATCCCCTACCGTATAGACTCGAGTATAGGCCGAGGTGGTCAGTACATTCTTAATGCAGTGTTTGTGGTAAAATCAGGTGCCTCGGCTGACATTCGCGTTGACTTATACTCGAGTATATACGGTAATTGAAACACCTCCACTTGGGTTTTAGCAAAATCTGAAGTGACATTGCTCCATCTATCAAATGTCCTTTGTGAATGTCCCTAAAACACCAGTTGGCTTGCTAATCACTGAGAGCGCTGATCTAAAGGCTGCCTTTGGGAGCATGTCTTTGAAAGCAAAACCGGAAACCCAACACATGTCCAAAGCTTTAAGTCAAAAGCCAAAATGCGGTGCTTAAACAGGGAAGTGGCAAAAAAAAGTGAAACTTGGCAAATGTTGGTTTGGTAGCAAGTGTGGGGTGGGGCAGGGAGGAAGTTCCCATCTTACAGCTTGAGCCAAAGAGGCTGGGTAGGGGACGGGTTGACAGGGACAGACGGTACACACGAACTTGGAAAGCTATGTGTCACCGTAGTGATTGGCGGACTGGCCGTGTCCAGGACAGAGAGAAAGGTCCTTAAGATGACCGCAGCAACACACGAAAGGTGTGGCTTCCCCCTCCACCCCCCCTTGGTGCTTGTATGTCTGACCTCAGTACCTGCTTGTTCTCCAGGACCTTTATAAGGTGGCCCCAGATTTACTGGGACTCATGGCCAGACCTGCAGGCCCCGGAGGACCCCTGTTTGAGGCTGGGGAGGACAAGCTGCCGGGTTGTCCACGAGCACAGCTTTGGGCCGCACCAGTGCCTTCCCAAGGACAGAGCCTGTCCAGGTTGCAATGACCCATTGGTGGCGTGCTCAGGCTGCCCTCGGACCACTGTCCAGCTCTGCAGGCCCCTGTGTGTTGGGTGTCCTCGGTGGTTTTAATCTGGTTGGTGAGTTACCATAGTTCCCAACATGTATCAGGCAGTTGTGTGAACAGTGGACATTTTCCAGCTAAGGCCGCTCGTGTCTAGATGTAGGCGTTGTGGGCTTACAGTTGTTTTGCTGAGTGGTTGAGTGCCCGGCTGCTGGCAGCTGGGTGGGAGAAAGATGGGGCTGTCTGCTCCGTAAGGGCTGCAAACTCCACAGAGCTGCTCCCCTCCATCCCGCTGGGCCGTTCCGAGGCGGAGTGCACTCAGGGCAGCAGGTTTTGCTTTTGCCTGGTTTGTCGTCCTTGGATGCCCTTGCGTGAGTGCCGATTCCTCACGACCTTCTGTGCCTCAGAAAGAGACGGGGACGGTTTCACGGAGTGAAAAGCACTTGGCCGCATGTCGTTGGTGTCTTGTGAATTCTCGGGTACTGCTCGGCTTCCTGTGTGTGCATTTGCAGCCGCCAGGCTTGTGCTGCTCGGCTTCTACTCGGTTCCTTGGGTGTGTGTTGGATCTTAAGGAGCAGGAAGTCGAAGAATAGTTAGCTCTCGTACCACCTTAGTTCAGTGGTTCTCAACCTTCCTAATGCCGCGGCCCTCATGTTGTGGTGACCCCCCCAATTATAAAATGATTTTTCGCTGCTACCTTATCACTGTCATTTTGCTACTGTGATGAATCGGGTCGTTGGACCCCTCCAAAGGGGTCGAGACCCACAAGTTGAGAACCACTGCCTTCGTTGCATTCGATCGGAACTCAGACTTTGCCGGGGGTGGGGGCGGGGTGGGGTGTTGGTTTACTTCTGTGTGGTGAGTCTCCTGAACGTATGCAGAAGGAGCCCTGGCAGCTACTGTGTTTGAAACCACCTGCTGCCGCACAGGAGCATGACCTCCTCTCATCTTGGGAACCCACGGGGCGGGTCCACCCAGTCCTGTAGGGCCTTCCTGAGTCAGAACCGACTCAATGGCGGTGAGTTTGTTTTTAAAAGTTGGGTTTTTTTAATAAATAAAGAACAACCCAAGACTAACTATTTAAATCTGAGTCGACCAAGGTGGGACCCTTAGAGTGTTATGAAAATGGGAAGTTCCCTCCGGTGCTCCGGACCTTGAGAGCCAATGTCTTCTGTAAGACCCGGTGACTCGGGCCTGCAGAATTCAGGCTGAGGGTCAGTGTTCTTACCGCCTCTGACATCTGTGCCCCGGCAGACGCACACTTGGGAAGCACGGGCAGCACCCAGTCCTGGCGGGCAAGCTGGCCTGCCCTGCCTTTGCCAGCCCTGCCTCACTGTGTCGAGAGGAGCCCCTCCTCCAGGTTACGGTGGCACGCTGGTCACAGAGTCGGCAGGGCAACACAGAGGTGCGGCACCAAGCAGGGCCCTGGTCTCACGGCGCCCCTGCCCATGTTTCACTGCAGGTGCTGGACTGGATCGAGAACCACGGAGAAGCGTTTCTGAGCAAGCACACGGGCGTGGGGAAGTCGCTGCACCGAGCCAGAGCTTTGCAGAAACGGCATGAGGATTTCGAAGAGGTGGCTCAGGTGAGCCCATGGCTTTCACCGTGTGCTCTCCGGATGCCTACCAGTCGCTTCCTGATACCCGCCGGTCACTTTCTGAGACTGATGCAGCACTCTGCGGCCAGAGGAACTGGCCATAGCACAACGTATGGTCTCCTGGCCCCCGTTTATTAAGCGTCTTCTTCTCGAAACAGGAAAAGGCTTGGTGATCGTGCCGAGTTGGTTGTAAATTGTTAAACCCATTCTCCAGGTCTGAGATAACCAGGGATGACCTCTTTCGGCACCAGCTCTTTCTCTGGAAACTTCTGCCTTAGGGAGGAAGGGCAGGCATGCCTCCAGGGTGAGCAGAGGGTTAAAGGTGGATCTGCAGCTGCGGGTGGGGTGTGTGTGTCTGCCTTTTACTCCTGGTTGGAAGACAGACAGACGGGTGCACCTCTGCTGCTTTGGCCGCTGTATTTCAGTCCTCCCTGGGACTTCACGGCATGCCTGACCTTCATGCCCCGGGGCAAATGAGCCAGATGCTCAGAAGCTAGCATTCACTGTTCACGTGCTTATGAATGCTAGGAGGCCGGTTTTTCATTCCTCGCAGGAGACTCCAGGTTCAGGTTCTATTACTGCAGGGGTCTGGCCTGGGGTTTCAGGAGCACGGGAGGTGACCGGGATCCCGCCAGCACCTGGTGTGTGATGTCACAGGACCCCGTGTGTGTCCTCATTCTCCAAGTGCCGAAGGAGGCATTGGACAAACTGCTTCCTGCTTAGTGCCTCCGATGGTTTAGTAACTGCCCAAGGTCCCTCTGCATCTGTCCCTAAGGGACATTGGTTTCTCTGGACATCTTTACCAGCTTGCAAGAGATGGCCGCCTTGTGCAGGACAGTGAGGCTCAGGGGAGACGCTGCCCTTTGGAGGGTCCTCCTACCAGACATGAGGGTCAGCACCCACTCAGTTGTCCTGGCCATCAGAAAGTGCCCGGAGTCCACTCCAGAGGGCGGCCCACCAGCACTGCTCTGTGCACGCACAGACAGGTCTGGGGCCTCCCCTCACTCAGAACCCGGGTCTGGGAGTCGGGCCGATTCTGCGAGAGGCACTCTCCCTGCAGCGTCCACTCAGAGTGTGGCTCTGGGGGGCTTCTTGTGGGTTCAGTAAGCCCAGCCCTTGACCTCAGGGGCTGAGGACCCTAGCCAGAGCCCACCTCCCAGGGGACTGGGTGGTCAGTGAGCGCCTCTATGCAGTGCTTAGACCCCCAGCTTCATGCATAAAAGCCGTGTAATCGTTTCTCAGTTCTACCATAACAGCTCTGTCAGGCACCATGGAGACATCTGTCTCGTGGGCACCCCCCCCAGAGTGTGGGCATCTGGGGAGTTAACAGCGGCTGGTATTTCAGAAGGAGATCCCCCAAGACTTTCTTCTGAAATGCCTCCCGTGTGCACCACCCAGGGACCCCGGAATCTATGAATACACGTGTGTGTGCACGTGTGTACTATGCTATGTAGACAGCCCAGGCTCCCATATCATGAACACCTTGCAGCAGTGTGCCACCTGCCACTTCTGAGAAGCCAGTATAGGCCCATTGCTACAAACCAGGTGCCAGTTGAGACTCCGAATCCATCGCTGCTTACCTCACACCCCTGTGGTCTTCCAGCCCCACCCCCAACCTCCAGGACACCCTCCTTTCTGTGGGGGCTCCCCTTGGCCCCCTTTAATTAATTTCTGTGGTTCTTCCTTGGCCCCTCTCAGGACCACCATCCTGATAATCCTCACTCTGGGTATCCTTGGGTGGTGGACCTACTCTCTGCCTAACCCCAAGCCTTATCTGTCATCTCCTGTCCTGGGTGATTATCCCGGAGCAGAACCCAGAGAGACCTGCACCCCAGTCGTGGAAGTCCTTCCAAGGTTGGAATCCGGGCCTCTGAGGTGTCTGAAAATCCCATCACAGTTTCAATGCACGTGGAAGGTTCCCTGTGGGCACCTGCCCGCTGTGTCCTGTCTGCCCCGTAGGGGGCACACAGGTCCAAACAGCGTAGGATGGGGGCCCTGTTCCTGTGGCTCTGTCCCGAGAAGGCTTTGGAAGTGGGTGATTTCACTTTGCCAGTCCCTGCAGAGTGCTTAGGAAGCCCTTTGAGCCTGCCCTCCAGCGCTGCAGTCAGACTGGGAAGTGTGTGCGCTCTCTGAATGAATCTCCTGTGATTTGATTCTAAAGAATACATGAAAGGTACGCAGGTACATTTTCAGGTCTGTTCAGATCCAGCAAACTTTAAAGGGTCCTTGGGCAACCCTTCACTCATTTCTAAAAGGGGTCTGTAAGCGCTTGGTTAACAGAGCGCCGATTGGTAGAATACTAAAATTTCAGGAATATTCTTAAGATATTCTGGAGAAAAGTCTACAGAAAATGGTTTTTAAGGTTGACAAGGAGAAATGTGTGATTCTGAACCTGCTTCACGAGAGAGTGTAAACAGCAACCTGATCCACAGAACCTGCGTGTTGGGCAGTAGGCTGAGTGGTTAAAACAGAAACTTTGACCTGAATCTGGGTGTGAGTCCCAGCCTTGTCCGTGGGGCCCAGTGACGGCCCCATGGCCCTCAGTTTCTGGGTGAGTATGAGGTGACCCAGCGCGAGGCGAGCCCTTAGGGCCCTGACACAACAGTAAGTGCTCAGAACCTTGGACCTTGACACCCCAAGGAGCTGGGGGCTGAGTGGTTCCCTGGGGTAGCCAGTTCTTAAGCTTTCACCCCACCCTCCCTTGATTGCCGATACCTGGGAATGTCTGACGGCACCCCAGCACCACGCACCTGGGCAACGCAGCACTCAGTAAATATGATGTGAGCCATTCTTGAACTGGCTTTCACGCTCGCTGCCTTGTGTTAGAGCCCAGGCGTTTTTGTTGTTAACGTTTGCAGGATAGTTGCAGGTACAGGGAAGACACTCGGCTTGCCCCTCCAACGGTTTGTTTTAGTCTGGGTTCCTTACCGCACCCGCAGAGCGGCTGCCCCCGAGTTCACCCCAGGGCATAGACTCACGTGCCGGAGTAGATGTTTCCGACCCAGGGTGCGCTCTTGAAAGCGGTTTGCCAGGTTTGTCTTCCGAGCCCTATCGCCAACCTTTCGGGGCGCAGCCGTGCGCTTAGATGTTTGTGCCACCCAGGCCCGGCTGTACTACTGCAGTCTAATATCAAAACCAGGATGCTCACACCGAGCCCAAACACAATTGCCACTGGAAGTCCCCTTGGTGTCCCTTAGAGGGCTCCAGCTCAGAACCACGTGTGGGATGTCATTGTCCTCCCCACCCCCACCCTCGCCCCTTTGGAACAGCCTTAGCCTGGGGAGTCACGCTGACCCGCCTCTTGGGAGCTTGTCTGACCGCTTCCTCCTGGGGTGTGTCCACCCCCCCCCCCCATGGTCACTTGACTCTCCTTTGCCCCATCCTGTGTCAGGGTCACCTCAGTCCCTGGACTGAGGGGATGCCTGCCAGCCTGCCTCCATATTAAAGTTATGCCACGTGCCCCCCTCCCCCCCTCGTGTCAGGATCAAGTCTCTTGTGGGAGGATATACATAGCCTGCCCTTCCGGAGACTGTGTTTATTTGTTTACACCGTCATGGACCTGTGGCTTCCTGTTGTTTTCTGAGGGCTGTGCTCAGTGGCTGTACCTCAGGGGGCTCCTGCTTTGCCTCCCCCCCCCCCCGCCCCCCGTTGTGCCTTTGTGCCTGGCACTTCCTAACACTGCCTTCCTGGCACAGTGAGGTTCTCATCCCAGTCCCTCCCCTCCCCCCAGCCATCCATCCAGTGCTCTGCCCCACCCCAGCCCCAGAAACAGGCCTGGCTCCCTGGAGAGGAGGATGGGTGCAGAGCATGCTGAGCCCAGTCCATGTTGCCAGCCCACTACACACACACACACACACACACACACCTGTTGAAACCCCTGAGCTCACACAGATACCTCCAAATCCATTCATCATCCCCCAAAGGTTAATCACGCTTTCTCCCCACCCCCCATGTATGTTGGTCACTCCGCTCTTCAGCAAGAAACCTGGTGCCCCTTATCCTCTGTGTATTTACCCCTGGGCGTCACCCCTCTCCCACTCTGCTGCCCACCCTCCTCTCCCCTGACCCCCTTTTCACTGTGCTCAGGCTCCCGCGTCTTGGGAGAGAGCGTCTCACTGATCAGCCCTCAGACTGACCCCACAGGGACACCCTGGTCACCCCTCAGGCTGACCGCTGAGACTCGCTCCTCCCCTGGCCCCCGTGAGAAGCCTGCCTGCTTTAGGACTAAATGGCTGGAGGAGGGAAAGGAGGAAGGACTCAGTCGTCCCTCAGCCAGTCTCGGTGACCGTCTGGGCCTTTTCTGAAGGCCTCATTCCTGCTCTTTGGCCTCTCTGATGCCCTTCACCTTAGTTGAGGCCCAGAAATCCCAGCCAGCTGTTCCCCTTAACAGAGCAGATCTCTAGCCTACCTGCGTATTCAAGGTACCTTCTGAGAGCCTCTGACTTCTCAAGAATTAAGATAGAGCAAGTCAAGCACCCACGTCCACTCCCTCTCAGCTCCCCAGAACTCTGGGCATGGTACAGCCAGTGATAGTTACAGCTTTTACCTTATCCTCAAAGATACGCCGCCTGAAATAGAGAAACAACATGACCACGCAGAAGAAACATGTGGAAGGGACCCCGACTGTGCTTGTCTGCAACTTCACTTTTTAGCTTTCACTTTGGGAATGACCGAGCAGCCGTCTCAAACTAAAAGGCAAAAGTGGAACCCGCTGTCATGCCGCACGGGAAGAGGGAAGCCCATGTCCGGGGCTGCCTGGGTCTCCGGGAGCGCAGGGGCCAAGAAGCCCAAAGCACCTCCCTGGCAGGTTGTCAGGAGCCACAGCTCAGCTCCACAGGAGAGAGCTTGGCCCAGCTCAAAGCTGAACAGCCTAGAGCCCAGAGAAGGTGAAAGGCAGCCAACGGAGAAGTAGTGACTGCCGAGAGCCAACTCTCCGGTCCTCCCTCTCTGCTTGCCAGCAGGGACCGGAAGTTCACTGTCACACAGACATTGGCTTCTGTTAATCATCTGGTTTTTCTCTGGGCGCTCTCTCGTGCAGAACACCTACACGAATGCAGATAAGTTGCTAGAAGCGGCCGAGCAGCTGGCCCAGACCGGGGAGTGCGACCCGGAGGAGATCTACCAGGCAGCGCATCAGCTGGAAGACCGTATCCAGGACTTTGTGCGCCGCGTGGAGCAGCGCAAGGTCCTGCTGGACATGTCGGTGTCCTTCCACACCCATGTGAAGGAGGTAAGGCGTCTGGAAGACGAAGCCCACTCCTGGCCAGAAAGGTCCCCGGAACTGACCCCAAGCCGAGTCTGAGCCAAGGGGCTGAGGGCAGGCGTGCCAGAGAGGGGTGTGGGTGACAGGGCAGGCAGGGACAACGGGAGGCAGGGAGACCGTCCGTCTTAGCCCCGGGCGTGCCCTGTGGTCACAGCTGTGCACTTCCTTTCCGTTGGTCAGCCAGTCATGCGGTTCGGTCAGGGTTGCCTGTGATCTTATCATGGTCCGTGCCTGCTCTCAGACACAGACGGGCCGAGTGTGAACATCTTGTGGGACTGAGACTGTCACGGGGCAGGAAATACGAGACACCACCGCCGTGGTCCGTGCGGGAACTGAGCTCCTGCTGGCGGGCTCAGTGAAGTAGCCGGTGATCAGACGGAAGGGGCTCCTTGGTGCCTTGGTGCGTGGGAAGAGGGCCTGCGATCACACGCTGCTGACCCGAGCGGTGCTTGCTAGAAGCCATCTCCACTTGTCTCACGGACCAGAGCTCTTGAGGGAGAAATGCCATCACACATGAAAGTTTTCAGGAAAATTAGAAGTTTTACAAACGGAATGAGGATGGGAACCGTGACGTGTTATTTCTGCGCTGGCCAGTGGTCAGGGGAAACCAGTCTTTACTTCACTGGGGACTAGTGCTGGACATAGTTGGCGTGGGGGCGTTAAATCCCAACGTTTGTGGTAATGGAATAGGAAGAAGGACCTGGATGGGGAGTAAGACTCGTGGAACGTCTGGGAGAAATGTGGAAGTCTGAGAGAGGGCACGATCCCTTTCCACCTTGACGGGCACTAGAGGTGGTTGCTTGTTGTCAGCCGGGGTCAATTCGGCTCCCACTCAGGTTGTCAAACGTGGAAGTGTCAGCGGTGGTGGTACTGTGTCACCCCCAGGCCCTTTGACCGTTTGCATCCATTGTCACCACGCCGCCCCGTCTCACGGGGGCTCTGTTGAACGGCCACCAGCCTCAGGTCCATTCTTAGCCATGCTAGCGTCCCTGGGGACACACGTCCAAAGGAAGGGAGCTGTGATCTCATCAGCCTCGCTTCTAAGGAGCATGCAGGTTGCCTTCCGTCTTGATGTGGATCTGGGACAAAGGCTGGGAAGTCTGTTTAAAGACAGTCCACTCAAAGAAAAGAACCTCCCAAACCGTGGCTGGCGACCTTGGGCTTGGGAAACTTGGAGGTTTGGATCTGCTGAGCCGGAGTTCTATCTCTGAAGCTGTGAGCCTGTGGGGATGGCAATGGGGATGGGAGAACTGGGGGTGGGGTGGGGTTGTGGGGGGAGGACGGGCTCTGCCCTTCTCAGCCCAATCAGGTGAGACACTCATCCCTGCCCACGGGAGGCTCTGTTTCATAGCTAGCTGCTGTGGGCGAGGCATGGCGGCCACAGGCTGCTGGGCGAAGTTCTTGGCATGACCTGAGCGATGGGCGGAGGGCAGCAGGCCCTACTATCTGCAGAACACTCGGAAGAGCGTGGTGTTGGAAGTGCCAGCAGATTGCATGGTGTGATCTGTTCACAGACCTGAAACAGACCTGGAAGTGACCAGGTTTTTGTAGCATCAGCAGCTTTTCAGGAGCGAACTTACAGGGACACCCTTCCAGCCACCCCTTGCAGTGTCTGTCTGTCCGTTAAACAAACACAACACTGCCTCACGGTACCCTGTGGGGTGGAGTCGGGCTGCCCCAGTGCTCTCTTGGCTGCAATCTCTATGGGCCAGAATACCACATCCTCCTCCCAGGGGGCAGCTGGTGGGTTCCTTTCAGTTAGCTGGAGAGCCTTAACCACTGTGCCACTCAGCCTCCTCCATCTCGTCTGTCAGCTTGGACATGACCGGAGAGGGAGAGTACCTTTCGTTTCTATCGACTCTGGGGATCTGCGGTCTGGATGAATTCGTAGACTGAGGGATTTCACGAGTGAAGTGGCTCCTGTTCACAAGGAGGTGGCTCCCTGCGTCCTGTGCGCATCCTTCCGCTGTTACCTGAAAGGCCGTTCGCAGAGCAGAGAAACTGGCTTCTTCACCCTGATGGGTTAAGCGCTGGGCTGCGAACCACAGGGTCCGCAGTTTGAACCTCCCAGCCCCTCCGGCCCGAGAAAGATGAGTCATGGGCAGCTCTGCTCGGTCCGGCAGGCTGCTGGGAGTCGGAGAGACTCGTGGCAGGGAGTTGGTCTCTGAGTGCACCTATGGGGATCCAGTGACCGGGGCGCATTCAGTGGCCAGCAGGGGGGTGAGGGCACGCTGTGCAATGGGTATGGAGAGAAGGGGCGGAAACGTCCAGGTTAGGTTGGAAATGTGCCTAAGATCGCCCCTCCTCGGGCTGGGCTGACCATTTCCTAGGTAGACGCCTCCATCCCCACTGTCTCTTCTCTGGGCAGCACAGAGGCTGTCCAGCAATACCTGGAACACCGGCTAGATTTCCTATTGGAAAGCCCTGCTTCCTCCTCCGGCCACCGGGCTGTGAGACCAGTTGTCCAGTTGAGAATAAATTGAATGCGTTTAAAATGGAATTAAAAGCGAGACAAGGCCTGGGAGGAGGAAATCTCGCCTGTTCGGTCTGTATTTGCTTAAGGTCATTAACTATTTAGACAGATGAGGTGAAGGAAAAAGTGGGGGTGGGGTGGGGGAATTACATTGTCTGACTTACTTCTTCCCCAGCAGACTGTGCAAATTAGCTAGAAAACGGAGCCGGTGCTGGCAGATTGGGAGGAGTTAACGGTTCCGGGCCCTCCACCGGGACGGAAGCCACCCCGGTCCCGGAGGGTCCCCCAGGGGCTTTGCTCTTGGTCTGCAGAGCGTTGCCGGCGCCTCGCTCCATTGCTGTACGTGCGCGTCTCCGAGGAGCGGGCAAGGTGAAGGCAGA